TGCCTCCCTCCCACCACCACTGAATGCCCCCAGGGACCCTGCTCTCCCCGCGGAGATGCCAGGGGGTGAGAGCGCAGTGGGCAGCCTGGGTTCTGCACCCCTCCTTCCATCTCTGCGCCAGGATGAGACCCCAGCTGCTCCCAAAATGCTGGGCCCAGCGCTGGCAGGGAGGGGGGTGGGGGGAGGAAAGGAAAAACCCAGTTTTGTGCTCTCGGAAGAAAACTGGGGCTTTTGTTTCCTTGGAAACGGGGCTGTGAAAGCAAAGCCCGGTGGGTGTCGATGTTGCACAAAGCCCGCAGTGAGCCCCTTGCATTCACCCGGCCGTAGCAACCGTCTCCCTCGCCCTGGCATTTTGCGGGCTGGGGTGGGTGCCAGGGACAAGGGGCTTTAACAGCGCCAGCAGCCGGGGCTGGCATGGCCAGCCTGTCCTGAGCCTGATCCCACTGCCCCACCTGCTCCCCAAAGCCCCCCCTGGGTGCAGGAGCCTTGGGCAGGGGGTCGATGTGGGGCTTAGAAACCCTCAAACCATCCTTCTGGGACAATTTTGTGCCCATGACGAGCAGGCGGATGAAAGCCAGGAGCCCTGCCCAGAGATGAAAAGCACTCGCCCCCATCAGGTCCCCAAGGGGTGCTGGTGGTGGTGATCCCACATGCCCCCCCCAGCACTGCACGGCAGCACTGTGCAGCAAGAACAGCTTGGTCTTGTACGGTGATGGCGGGGGACTGACTGCCTTGCAGGCTGCAGAGCACCTCAGCCCAGTGGTGGGCAGGCTGGGCTTTACTGGGACCAGTTTGAGCCCTACAAACCATTCCAAGCCTGGTGCTTTTGGAGGGATGCTCCCAGGGGCTGGCTTGGCAGCAGCTGCTCTCCTGCCCCTTCCCCCCCAGCTGCCCATGCCCACCCCAGACCCCCCAGGTTTTAGGGAAAAGCCGTCCGAGCCCCAAGCGCTGGCTCCCCGCGGCTCTGCTTGGTGGTGCCGGATGGCTGCATGTGCGATGTGCTCTAGGTTACTGGTTTATTGAGCTCGTACAGGGCACTGCTTGGATCTGGTGGGATATAGTCACTGGGACCTTCTCCTACTGTGAAGGGGGCTGGCAGGAAGGGATGGGACAGGACGAGGGCAGTTTGTGTTTGCTATGTCCTCTGCATGCTACCATGGAAACCCTCTGTAGTTTCAGATGGGACCTTTCTGCCACAGCTCCATCTCCAGAGCAGCAACCCCTCTGAGCCTGGCCAGGCAGCCAGGATGGAAGGGTGCTGATGTCCTTGCTGGCCTTTGGGCAGAGGCAAGGAGGCTGCCAATGTAGCCACGGGGACTGGGGTTTCAAGCCCCACTTGCCCAATGTGGGGTTTGAAGCCCATGGCACAGCCCCCCTGAGCTGTCTCTTCGGCTTGCTCCACGTCCAGACACTAATGGCAAAACAACGTTTAGTCTTGGGAGGAGGTGGTGGATTGATCTCTACAGCTCCTCGGTGGCACTTAGCAAGGTGTGCCGAGGGCCAGGAGGGGTGGAGGGGACTCCCGGGGCTTGTCAAAGAAGATGGAGGAGGACATCTCTGTTTTGAGCTTGCTGTCGGCGCTGCCTTCGCTAGAAGCAGTGTCAGGGCTGCAGCCCTCACAGCAGCAGCAGCAGCAGTCCATGAAGGCCTGTCCCAGGGGTCTGCAGAGGCACAGGAGCAGGACGGGTGTTACCGAGCACTTGAAGAATAGGAAGAACTGGTTGATGAGGTTGAGCAGGTCTAAGGTCTGTTTGGACATGTCGGGGGACATGTAGGCCACCACGATGTTGCAGACATTCTCAGGGGTGGTGCAGAGCCCATAGATGATGGTCAGCCCGATGATGGTGCAGTTCAAGTGACTCTCACACTGGCTGTGCTTGGTCCCTCGGCACTCAGTCTTCTTCTCGGTGCCGCTGATCCTCCGGGTCACAAGCTGGCAGCTCACGGTGAAGAGGATAGGCAAGCAGAAGTAGCAACCGAAGTACCACCACATTCGAGCATTTTGGTAGGTGAGCACCAGCGAGTAGACAGACTCTGGCAGGTTGGATGAGGGCTTCATGGTGCAATACTCCGTCACCATGCCGGACACAGGTGATGTGTCCTGCGCCAGCTGCCAGAGCAGGATCTCTGGCACCGACAGCGTCATGGAGCCCACCCAGATGACGGCCAGCTTGGCGATGATGGACTGGCACTGCTCAATGGGCCGGGCACTGGCCTGGGGGCTGGTGGCTGCGTGGAACCTGTCAATGCCCAGGGCACAGAGGCTGAAGGTGGTGACTCCCAGCGATGATACCTGGTGAGAGGGGAGGCAGAACAAGTGGGCCTTGCTGCAGAGACGTCATGGAGGGCTTGGCTTTACCAGGCTGGTTGGAAACCCCTAGCTACCCAAGACCAAAGCCCAAGACCCTTCCTCCAAGGTTTTAGGGGGGTCACAGTCTGTGGAGACACTTTTCTGTGAATACTGAAATGGCAGAGGATAAAAATGTCCCTTGACCCGTTTGTCCCTGCCCAGCTCCCTTTTCTGCAGAACGGAGAGGCTCTGCTGGATGTCTTGTCTGTCGATCAAAATCAGGCTGGGAATAGCAGGATTGTCTCTTAGGCTCTTCCTCTATTCTGGTTGGCTCTTGGAGAGGAAAAGCAAGGAGCATCACACCCACCAGCACCTTCCCAGGGTCCCCAAGGCCCCCCAGCTACCCCAGGCTGGCTTGTCCCTGCCCTGCTCTGCCTGCTTCCCGGACAGGCCAAACGAGTTGAAGGCACCGTTGTCACAAATCAGCTTGGGGCAATTTCCGCTGCATTGAGAACGGCAGGAAAAACATCCTGTTTGCCAAAGGGAAGAGGCCAAAGGAGGCAGAGGAATCACGGTGGCTCTGGAGGGCTGGCAAGGAACCGGGGGTCACAATCAGCATTCACAGTCTCATCCCGAGCTGCAGCTTTGCTCAGAGCCA